CAGAAGGATCCCAGATGTCCTCACTGGGACACAAACCGGAGACCTTCTTGCTGCGAAGCAACAATGCTAAGCACCAAGCCACCTTGCAGCCCTTGCAGAGACATAAAAATTGGCCTTTAGCTTAGTATGGAGGCCGGGACAGGAGGCGGGACCTCAGGATCTCCAGCGCCCAGTCACTACTGCACACATTCTGGCTGTAAATGGCATCACCAGAACAAGATGGCAGAACTCATTTCTGCCATATTTCGGCTTCACTGCCTATTTACAGTGTGGTCATACATGTTGCACAGGTATAGATGCGAGGATGGCTGGAATGTAAATGTCTGCATTAGGTTACATTTACATTATCCCCACAACACCTCTGTTATTATTATTATCACTACTATTCATATTACTATGATCACTCTCAGTACCTGTTGCAGACCTGAAGTGAGATAAGCTGCAGTTCCTCTGATGACCACCAGATGCTGCCACATCAAAATACACACATCACATTAACAGCAGCAACAGAAGAAACACTGAAGGTAGTTCAAAGACAATCATGACCCTGAAAAGGAATCAGAAGTTAAATACTGCTAAATAGAAGCTTTTGAATGTCTCCTTGTCTGAGTATCTGGAGTATGTGTTCATATACAGCCTTCATGTTGAGCCTCGTGTTTTTAAATCTTTTTGCTTTTCTTTCTTTATTTACATTTAAAGAAAAAATTAAATAAACTAGCAATCTATTAATATAAATAGACAATATATGTTTTTTTTGTCTTGTGTCTGTGTTTGGTGTCTTGTTTTATTAACTTTTTTATTTTCTGATAAACTTTCCCCAGGATTTCCTTTAAAAAAAAAAAATCAGCTGCTGTTTAAATGTAAACTGTGTAATGGCATATTAAATGGTGCAATAAAAAGTAGTATACCGAAGCTCCAAGGACAATGTGAGAAAATATGTTCAGTGGCACAGCTCCGGTCCTCGTGCTGAAGAATGATAACGGTGATCAGAAGCTTAGCAGCAATCCGAGCTCTCTGATACCTGCACTAATGAAGAGATTAAACACACCTCAGTGACACAAACACCTGTGAAGTCAAACATGATTAAGCCCTAAAACAACTGTGGATAAAAGTGCTCCGACATCTCCCTGTAACAAATGGGCTTCAGTAAAATGTAGATTGTGTCCTTCAGTCACATGGATGTTTAAATCTGTGCAGCACAGAGCAGGTTCAGCAGGCAGGACGTGGTTTAGTGAATCCAGTCGTCCCCAGTCGGACAGAGAGGTGATGTTTGGAGGTCAGAGAATCCTCCTCACAGGAAGCAGCAGGTCGATCGCTGAGGTCCACCTCTGTAATCTGTTGATCGGGCTCCGATTGATCACATTACAGCCGACCTAAAGTCAGGGGATAATGCCTGTGGGGGCACAGATCCTGACACTGGGATTTGTCAGAGCTCGTTCTAAACTGTGTCAATAAACAATCAAACTCAGGTGCATCGGTTCTAATCCAATCAGTGCTGTTGGAGGCTGGCGTCACGCCTGGGTTCGGCCTGACCGTCCAGGACAGGGGTGTCGAAATCCGGTCCTCGAGGGCCACAATCCTGCATGTTTTAGATGTTTCCCTCTTCCAACACACCTGATTCAAATGATCAGGATCGTTATCAAGCTTCTGCAGAGCTTGATGATGAGCTGATCATTTGAATCAAAACACCGGAACTCGAGTTCGGCGTTGTTTCCTGTTAGCTGACAGGTGAACTGAATGAAGAACTGGGAGAGGGACTGAAGAGCTCCTGATCTGGTGTTTTAGCGCCTCCTGGTGGTTAAGTCAAACAAACACTCTGATGCCCTTCCACCAGAGGAGTTGTGCTTTAAGAACTGGTTCTGTGTGCTGTGAACCAGCCCACATTCTACCAGTCTGTAGCAGAACCAGTGCATCAACATAACACTTGACTGTTGTTGGGTTTTTTTTTATCAGTTTCTTTTTTTTTTAGTTGTGATTATCTACAATGCAGCTGTGTTGTTGTTGAGTGTAATCAGTTAGCTGAGCTGGTCATACTGTGTCCTGTCCTCCTCTGGTCTGGACTCAGGACTCGTCTCTACAGAGAAAAAGCTGCTTCAAGGGCTATGAACAACCTCAATGAAAGCTCAAAGTCTGTTTTCACTACAGAAAAAAAATGTCAAAGAACTGTGATCTTGTGGCAGCTGGGGCGCCAAGAACTACAGTTAAAAAAGTATAGACAAACAAATCTATGCAACTATTTTTTAAAAATTAAATGCAACTAATTGTATTTAATTTTATACATATATTTACAGTATAAACCTTAAATTGAATAGTTTTGTGTATTTGTAAAATATTTGTTATATCATAAAAAAATATGTGGGGAAATAAATTGTGAAGATGCTTTATGATTTCAGTTCAATAACTGGCTTTTACTTATCTTGTTTCTCCTATTATCCTTCTGTTAAAGGCTGAGATTATAAGGGGGAAAAAAGTTCACAGACTGTAACTTTGGGGCTCCACATTTCCGTTTCATGAGTTTATTTTTAAAAATAATTCTGTTAAACCACAGTTCAAAAGCAATGTCTGTTTTTTATTGGTTAATTTTCATAGAATTTTTCTTTATTATTACTTTTGTCAGATTCAAGTTATTTCTGTGACCATTGTGGGTTTTTCTTTCATTAACCAAGGGATACCAACTATTTTGTCCACGTGTGTAGCTGTCTGTGAAAATGTATTTAAGTGGGAATCAATCAAAAACGTTCTGTGTTTTTCCTTCACAGCTGCCTCCTAAACGCCGAGAGACTGGAAAGAAAAAATCCCAAAGAAGGAAAGGGAAATGAGTGACAGCCCAGGATGAGAGAACAAATGATTAAAACAGATCCAGAACCAGCTCATGACATGTCTGACAGCTCAACTAACACAAGGTAACTCCATGAATTAAACTGGCTCATTAGATACTTCATGTTAATATGAGCATACGTAGTTATACGGCTCAAATGTAAATACTTAAATCTGAGTTAATGTCTGTTTTCTTTAGAGCTCTCTCTAAGATCACCAACAATAAGAAGGATCAGATCAGGACAAGGAACCAGATGAGGAGCAGCTCCAGAATGTGAATCCACATTATGTTAGAGAGACGTGGAAAGAATTATTATAGAGACATGAAAGGTGAGACAAAGAAGAAATCTAATCCTGTTGCAGGTTATTATCTTCATGATTAGTGTCCTATAGCAACAGTTATTGTCCACTATTTAACACAAAGAGACAATCATTCACACTCACTCTCACAAAAATAAAATAGAGCCAACTTTATGACAACTCTTGACTTAAAGCCCGACACATCTTCTGGCCCATTGTTCCTGCTTCGTGCTATAAGCCCTGTGATGTTCCCCACAGAGCTGGAACTAAGATTCATCAGGAACCACAAACACACAGAATCTGATAATAACTTGTTTAATTCCAACTAACAGGAGGAAAATCACGCCTGAAGACCTGGAATATGACACCAAGGTGAGGTGACACAAACCATCATAAATACAAAACTGATCAGGATCATGACGAGAATAAACAAATCAGAATAAATAACAGCAGAAGCACAGGGAGCTTCAGTTTCAGTGTTCGTGTGGAGGTTTACAGGTTTATAAAAACAGCTGAAGACTGACTAAAGAGCTACTGAACAGCAGGATAGACAGCGTTTCACACATAACTCGGCAAAAGTCACTTCAGAGCGAGTCACGCCTGGGTTCTCTCTCCTCGTCTCGCTGAGGAGCTGCTAGGTAGCTGGAGGGAGAACGAGGATGCGAGGAAACAGAAGTTAGCATCATGAACAGCATTTACAGATATGAACTTCACTTTTGGTTGACAGCTTTTCGAGGGTTCGAGCATTTTTATCAGATCTGAATCTGCTAATCAAACACTTTCTAGTATTTCATTAGTTAATTTTTCAACACAACAACTAGTGGATAAATATTTAAATTAAAGACTGATCGTCATGCTGCATGTTAGTTGTTCGGTGTGTGATGAAAGAGGAAAAAAAGACTCAAGTTGAACAAATCAAAAGCAGAATCTGTCCCCCGCTTTCCTAAAGCGTTAAACTAAAGGCAAAGAAGTGAATTCATTAATTTATTGCAAACATAAAATCCAGCGTCTTGTTTTTCGTACCTTCTTTCAGTGAACACAGCTGAAAGCTCTGTGTGTTAAAACTGTACTTCTCTGTTGTAGAAACAGATTGAAAGGATCATTCTGGTTTATTTCAGCCTGCTGTATTTCACATTAATGTGGCGAGTAGGGCTGCAACTATTTTTATGAATTATTTTCAGGGTCAATTAATCAGCTGATTATTTTCTAGAGTAATCGATTGGTTGGTTGGTTTGTCAGAAAACAAACATGCTGAGTCGTGTTTCCAAAAGCCAAACTGACAAACGTTTTGTTTCATCTACTGTCACAGAGGAGTCAAGAAACCAGGAAACATTCACATTAGAGAAGTTGGCATCATTTTCTTACTTACTCAAACCTATTAACCAATTATCAGCAGTAGTTAAAAACTAATGAATCGTTGCACGTCTAGTTTGTGTCGTGTCTCTGAGTCACAGTGACTTTGCACTCTTCATCTCTCTTGCAGAGAATCAATGCACATATTGATTTTTACATGAATCACTTCAAACTGTTTTCATGAGTGGAGGTGCAGAGTGCAAATTAATTTGTCAAAGTAAGTATATTTGTGCTGACAGCAGCCTGGAGACTCAACAGAAGAGCTGATGTTTGCCGTCTTATGATCAGACCATTTACTTTTAATTTGCTTAACAAACAAAGAAGCTGCTGTTTGCTGCTCCTCTCTAGTGCTGCTTCTGTTGATCTGTTTATGCAGCTCTGGCTTTCAGGTAGTTTTAAAGAGAAATTTTAAATATTTAAATTTCTGTGGAGAGAAACAAATTGACTGATATTGTATCAGGTCTTTAGCAACATAATCAAATAAAAGATCAAAAACATAAAATACTCACTGGAGTAAAGAAAAAAAATCATCTTAAAAGCAAAACCTATGCCTTGCAAAAAATTATTTGCCTTTTTGACAACATATCTTTTTCACTGACCATATTTTTACCTTCAGTCAGTTTTCTGTACACATAAACAAAAAAAACAAATAATTTCTTTGCAAGTTAAAGTTTTACTTTTGATATGACATTTGTTGCCTCCCACCTTCTTATTTTCATTTGACATTCTTCTTCTTCTTCTTCTTCTTATTATTATTATCATTCTGCCACAAACCTATAATCCTACATTAGGGGAGAAAAAAAGGGGGATTTATCTTTGGCCAGTTTGGCTTCATGTAAATATCTTGTGATGCAGAGCGAATGGCAGCCCACACTCCAGTACACACAGGCAAAAAATGTGGAGAAGCTCAGCATCGGCAGTTTTAACCAAACAAATCCCTTCAGTGTTTGTGGCGAGAAGCAGCAGTCGTGACACTGTTTTCTATCTGAGCTTCATCCTGCAGAATCTCTACTGAGGGTCCAACAGCCTGGACCTGAGCTCACTGCAGTTAATGGAGATCAAAGGTTATAAAAATATGTTAAGAAACTCCTGATCTACATTTCTAAGCAGCATACAAACATCTCATAAATGGCTTATAACAAACTATAAAGTAGTTAGGAGGAAATATCCAGTGAGATTTACATGAGTTCAGCTGTGCTGTCGTTCACTATTTGCTGGCAGTCGACAGGAAGACTTACAGCTGTAATAACACATTAATACACACGTCTATCCTCTGGAGGCTTTGGGGAGGTTTACTTCAGCAATAAAGAGTTTGGGATGCTGAACCTGAAACTGCCGGTTCATCCAGCTGTTTCACATGTTCCTGCCTCGCTCAGCTCCACTCAGGGATCCTTCATCAAACGGAGTGTTTGGGTTGTTTAAAGCAGAGAGGGCGACCTGCATGGAAACTATCAGTGAACCGCAGCTGAATGTATTTTAACGTCCTAAAAAAAACAAAACAAAGGGTACACTGTATTTAGAATATCTTCACCGAGGTATTGCTACTAAACAACGGGAAAATGAAGCAGTGATATCATTCTCCTCAAACCACCAGACTCCACTGACAAAAATAGTGATTTTACCTCACAACAGGGACTTACTGTTGCTCTGATGGCCTGATTTACAAGGCAGGTGTAAATCACATTGTCTGTGTTTTCATGTGACTTTGGTGTTTTAACATGTTAGTTTACATATTAAGGTTAAAAAAAAGTGATAACATTATAAATACAGTGTATACAAACTGACATTGATTTTTTTAGGCGTCTAAAATACATTTTGCAGCTGATCTTGTCCACAGGAGTTCCCACTGTACCGACAGCCATCCACTGTTGATTATACACTGATTATTGATAAGAACATCACACAGTCCCACTTTAAAAAAATCATAGTTAACCCTTTAAATATGAGCAAGAACTCGTACTTTGGTATTGCTGTCCACTTCCTGTCTGTCACCACTTGATGAAGACGAGTGCAGCGAGCACCGCGTAGCCAAGGATGAGGAAGAGCACTTTGAGCAGCCGGTCCTGTTTTTGCTCCAGCTCTTGGGAGAGAATCTCAAAGAAGGTGACGAACAGGAAGGTTCCAGCAGCGAGACCCTGCAGCACCACCGACACTATGCTGCCCGCCAGCGTCTGGGTCGACTCGATGCCCATTCCCACCACTATGCCCAGCGGGATCATCAGGCTGACCGTGACGCCCAGCTTGGCGGCGTCCTTCATGCCCAGCGACGCCTTTGCCACACTCACCCCAAGGGCGATGGCGGCCAGTGTCTCGTGCACGGCCACCCCCAGGAAGAGGCTTCCTAGCTTGGCACCGTCCTCCTGCAGGCCGAGAGCCAGGCCCTCAAACACCGAGTGCGCAGACAGAGCCAGGACCAGGCTGGCCAGCCGCAGGGGCCCCGCCCCCGCCAGCTCGGCCGGGCTAAAGTGCCCATGCTGGTGTCCGTGGGAGCGGCGACCACTGCCGCTGCCCGGCGAACCCCGTGTTGAGGAGATGAAGGGAGTGTCGTATTCAGAATCACTGCCGGCCTCGGAGCCACCGGCGTTGAAGGTCTCCAGGTCGATGAAGGACGGCTTCTCCTTCCTGAAGGTGAGGATGGCCTGCTCCACGAAAACTGTGAGGAAGAAGCCGAGCATCATCATCGTCTCAGCCAGCGGATAATCACTGTTGATCTGCAGCTGTTTGAACACGTCGCCCACCTGAGGATGTAAAACCAAAACCATAACTGCATAAAACAGGTGAAATATGACTCACACAATACTCACACAAGCAAAATGAACACAAAAAAAATCCAGAGCAACAGACAACAACTGGCACTCTGAGAAATGTTCCACAAGGATCAAGAAGTTCCAGAGAATCTGTTCCAGGATTTGCTGACATAAAGAGACTTCAGACAGTTTGAACACACATCCCGTTACAGAATTTCCTACCTACTGGGCAGTGGGCATGTGCAAAAAACATACAAGCAAGACTTACACTGAAAACCAAAGAAGAAGCTGCATGTTATCCAGACAGAGCAGATTACAACTGTCAACCTTTGTGCTGCAGGTCAGCTGATTTCCTGGAGTCTGAACCAACATTAGAGGCTGATAATGAATGCACCGTATCATCGAGGGTCCTCACAGGTACAGAAAGACGTGCGGGTTTACCTTGTCTCTGACGGCGGGCAGCAGAGCGTTGAAGCATGTTGCGAGGAACACGCCTCCTCCAAACGAGTTGCACAGCGACAGCGCCCTCCTGTACCTGTGCGCCTTGTCGTAGTCGACCAGCAGGAGCCGAACTGGGACCAGCACGCCGGCCAGCATGAGGCCAAACAGTCCCAGCAGGCCGAGCAGCTTGGCCACCAGGATCTCCATCCTGACGCCGCACAGATGTTACAGCCAACAGAGCACCATCACACACACCTCCAGGCTGCTACTTTTACTGGATTCAGGAGCTGCTGGGACATCTGAGCTGGAGTCACAGGACACAAAGACAGACTGTTAGTGGGCAGGAAGGTGAAGAATAAACCCGACTCAACCGGTCTGTGGTTGCATTGCATCTGTTTCAGTTGCTATTATTAAGGTTTCGTGGTCATTCTGTGTCTCCTGCAGACATTCTGTGTCTCAATCCAGTAATTTCTTTGTCGTTGGGATCATTTTTTGTCTGTTTTGAATATTGCATCAACATCTCAGATGAGACTCACAGCAGCATTGATAAATTGGAGTGACAGTGATGGTTTTTTTTTTTTATTATTCAACAAAACACACTTTTAATAAAACTGAAATTGAGTTTAAACGTTAGTGAAGCTTTAACTAGGATATCCAAAGACCTTTTACAACAATAAATTAATTTAAAAATATATTGTCCCTCAGTTTTCCACAATAGCCTCATCACACATGGAGTTGCATTTCTACCTGAGCCCACATTCAGGTGTTCTTTCTGATCCCATCTACAGAAACTGAACAAAATGGCTGCTGCATCTTAAAGACGTGTTTAGTGTTTGAAGAGCTTCAAACTGGATTTTATTCTAACTTGTTCGTCAGCTTGTCATCATTTACTGCCTACCTTCAAAACGTGTCCCTGATGATGTGTCCACCGTCACTGACTTCAGTCTGAACCTAAACTCTGCGAAACTCAATTATAGTAGCGATAAACTCATAAACTGACTGTTTAGTTGACGGTTCTGTTCGTTTTTATGTTAATAATTTCGCTGCAGGGACCGAACACGTCAAGTCACCCGAGCTACAGCCTGCTGTGTGTGAAGACTATCAAAATAAAAGGTTGTCACACTATCTTACTACTAACAACATTACAATATTCGCGTGCACCTTGGCTGTACAGTTTTAATATTTGTAATAAAAGCAATTAAACTGCATGATTTTACTTCTTCAAGCCTGTAAAACTAAATTTAAAGTTTCAATTAAACACAAAGTGTCCTCATTTCCGCTGGCTAACAGCTGCTAACTTGACCGCTACTGTTCGTTAGCTGCTTAGCTCCTGAGCAGCTAAACAGGCCAACTCGCACCGCGACACTCTGATCATAAAATAAATCGTCTGTTTTCATCTGTTATTCAGACTAAATGGCAAGTTCAGCTTAGCAGAAACACGTTAAAGAAGAAACATCAGTCGGACACCGTGTTTACCTTCCGAAGATTTGTCTCTTCCACAGCAGGTGTATACCAAATACTTCCGCATTACGTCATATCCCCACTGGGTGCTGATTGGTGGATTCCCAGTGATGTATGGTGCAATATTTTTTATATCTTGAATTTCTACATGTAGAAGAATCTGTACAGTATCACTAGTTCTTATGCACATTTCTTCTTTGTTTTTATTTTTCTAATCACGTGCCTACATTTTTGCACTCTTTGCTGCTTTAACGCCGCACACGTTGCTGCATCTGTGTGCCTAGTTTATATCTTTATATGCTTTGTTTTTATTATGGTTTCTATTTTTCACTTGACCACACATCACATATTCAATACTGATGTATAATAATGTGCTTTGACCTAATATTTTGACTTTATGTACTTTAAAAATTAATATATTGGCATTTGTAATTTTTTGTTATCAATTCATAATGTGTAAATAAACCTCACTCAACGGTCAGTTTGTTTACTTGTAGTCATTTTCAGTCATTCTGTGTCTGTTTCTTCCTTAAGAAAGAAACGGTCGCCTCAAACTGGGGCTCTGACTCTGATGCAGCCACCTCTTTGTCGGCGGTCTTGACCAGTGTCCCACCCACAGTACTATCTACTATCTACTACTCACAGTTAAACGTCAGCAGCAATCACCCATCAACACTGAAAGACAAATGCTGAAAGGTTCTCTGATACGTTAGACCTTAGAATTCTGAATTTAGCCAAAAAGATGTAAATTTTTCCTACAAAGGTTTACTGGTTCCAAATGTCTGAGGTATCTCTGCACAGATACATCTTCAGCACATCCAAAGAGGTTTGTTAACTGAGGTTTTATTTATCAAGCATAATAGATAATTCTGTTTATAAAATGGTCAGAAACAACAGGAAACTGCACAGTAACACAGACTCATTGCTTTTAATAATCAGGATTACTGCTGTGTGTAGTCACTACCAAAGGTCCATCCTGAGCAGGAGAAGCCCTGAATATTAGTAATCAGTGTCTTTGATGACTAGTAATCGGTGTGGACTCCTACTTTGATTGAAGGGGTCAGGAGGGCCAGAGTCTGTGGTTCTTTTGAATAATCCATCCATGATTTCATAACTTACTTGAATAGGAAAGTTTTCAAAACATCACTTTGTGTCTTTATGCTTGTTTTCTAGTATTATAGTTTATTTTGAAACCAGTGTTTTCTAATTGTATGTGGTGCCTCCTTATTTATTCACTGATGCCGTTTGAAGCAAGAGACTTTTAATGAAGCTGAAGACTGTAATACATCCTGAAGACCTCATCTGTATGACAGTGAGCTGAATCATCAGACGTGAGACAAGGCCGGTTAAAATGTCGAGATGCTCTCTTTAATTAAACTGTGTTCAAACAGCCTCCTGCTGCCTCCTCACAGCTCCATGTGACCGAGGAGTTATTAGTTCATTTACACTAATTAAACCCTGACAGTCATTCATTCACACACACACACACACACACTCCATCATAAACACTGCACTGGACCAACAAAATGCATTTAAAGTCACACTGTGTAGTTTTTAGGGGAAAAAACAGACATTTCAAGCCTGTACAGCTGTTTAACATCTGGATCCAGGTTCCTATTAGAGCTTCATTTATTAGCATTAATTTGATTTCGACATGTTCCTCCTAAGAACCACACAGAACCGCAGGAAGTGGGCGGAGTTTTTGGTGACGTGGTTCCTGAATAAAGCGGGAAGCCTCGCTCCATCTCTCTCTCATGCAGGAATTATTCAGTGATGGAAAAACAAAAACTTCCGTTTAGTCCTTCGAGTAATAATGATCCAGGTCAGACAGAAAAAAGGTCAGACGGTGCGCATGTCTCCTCCTCTTCCTCCTCTTTACACAAACCTATCAAACCTGAAACAGACAAGAAACAGGAAATCAATCGCTGTTGAAAGTACAATCAATTCAAGAGACGCAAATAAATAAGTAAATAAAGCCCATATTTAAGTTTTTGTTTTAAATTGTGCAGGCTAGCCAAGTTTTCCTGATTGAATTTTGAATTTGCACCAACTCTCAAACAGCTAGCAGCCTTTTGTTTTAGAGTTTCCCTGTTTTCTAATCTACACATTATAATTTGAGGTTTATCTGTTCAAGTTATACATTTCACATCATTTAAATCCACTTCCACAGCTCTGCCTCCATTAGTACAACAGTCATCTTACCTCGCTCTGAAAAACACTCATTTAATTTGATAGCTGTTTCCTTATTTTCACATTAAAAGCCTGCCGGTAGCTCAAAGGCCTTTCAAAATGAAAATCAGGAGAAGTTTTTGAGCTTCACTAAGGAATAAATAGAATAGATTGGAAGTCCAGTTTAGTTCAATTTTATTGGTCAGTTCAATTATGAACATGTTGCTCTTGTCCTAAAGTTATTTTTTGGTTGTTGAATGAATCACTTTTGTTTTCAGTCTGACTGAATGAAAAGAAACTAGAAACCTGGAACTGACATTTACCTGCATTAGGAATCTACATCTATAATACTTGTGAGCTGCAAAGAGTTTAAGGGTTTTTGCCCTGATACATGCTGCTTTGTCTTCTTTTTCTTCCTTTCATTGAAGACTTAATTTCATGATTATGGGGTGCATTGTTTGTTTTAGCCACAACAACACATTTGTCGCTCTTCACCAGCACTACGCAGAAGATTTTGCTCACTGAGACTTTTTCCACTTCCCGCAAAATAAAACTGCAGTTGAAAGGTCCTCGTTTTAGGAGATTCATCGCAGATGGTATTCGACATGTTTGCAGAATAGGACTTCCAGCGGCGTTTACAAGCCTTGCACAAGTGCTGTGAACAACGTATTACTGCACAGCAAGACTACTGTAACAGGGAAAGTTATATCAGGTATGGGTTTGACTTTTATAGGCACAGACTTCATATATTGATAACGCCTCATGTTATTAATACTTTTATTATCATCTTGTTGCTCCTCCCCTCTGAAGCTACTTCCTTATTGATCGCATTTCACATTTTATCGTGCTGCTGCCAGTGTTTGTGGATCTGTTCAGGTTTGGTCTGCCTGTACTCAGGCCCCCCCTCAGAAATTACTGCCAGTCTATCAGATTCATTTGGTTTTCTGTGGGTCTGCAGCTGCAGTGTTTTGGACTGAGGTAGTCTGTATTTACTGTGTGTGAGTGTCACGGCTGCTCCTCGTTCCCGGCGCTGGGCGTTCGGTTGCGGATTTGACTCCTCAGCTGTTCGATGAGTTCAGGGTTCTGCTGCTGCATCTGCTGCGCAAACTGCTGACCACTGCAACACAAACAGCACAAACACCCTTTAACATCATCAGCTAGCAGCTGTTATCCCAAACCCACTGCTCTGCTACGTACGCCTGGATGAGTCCTGATAGATCTCCAGCTGATGCAGCTCCAGGCATTGCACCTCCTCCACCTCCTGCACCAACTCCTGCCCCAGCCCCAACTCCTCCTCCTCCTCCTCCTCCTACTCCACCTCCTCCACCTCCACCTCCTCCTGCTGCTCCCATCCCGCCGTACGCTCCTGACATCATTCCTGACATCCTGGAAAACAGAGAGCAGACAGGAAGTTAACTCTGGAAAAGCAAAGAGAAAGAAGCGACAGCTGACCTGCTGCGACAGACTTACAGCTGCTGAACCTGAGGGTTGTTCATCAAAGACGACGCCTGCAGAGACAAAGGGACAGACGTTACCAAAAACAACAAGCACTGACACAACGAGGACCAAAGGAAGGTTTGCGTTAGTGATGGGTGTGTTATCTCACCATGTTCATGAAGCCGGGGTTACTGAGTAAACCAGCCAGATCGACTCCACCCATTCCTGCAGTCTGAGAGCAGCAGAGACACAGTTATACAAACACAGAGGTCAGACTGAACCACCGCTCAGACAGCTCCTCTCTCATGCTGTTCCTTCTTACCGGACTGGACGTCTCCATCTTCTCCTCTGCGATCTTCAAGTTGGTTTTATAGGTGTCGTTGTCGGGGTCGAGCTCCAGTGCTTTCTTATAGTAACTGACGGCTTCTGTGTGTTTGTTGAGGCTGGCCAGGGCCAAGCTGCAACACAACAAAGACACACATCAGGATCAGCAGCTGGACGACCAACCATCCTGCTGCTCACAGCGGAACAGACACATTACATTTCTGTGTCCAGCCTTCTGCTTTGGATCACAGGTTTGTCAATCCTGCTATAAAGTTTTGAACATCACATATCGAACACTTGATCCAGATCAAAACCAACACTGGATTACATGATCTAATCCAATATCAGAATCCTATTTTTTTTCCTCCTGAAAAAATCATTTTCAAGATTTTATTCAATCTGATCAGAAGGCCTCTTACCAGCTGAGTCTTTATCTGTTCTTTAAATTTTTGATGTGCTCTGATATTGTGGTAAACAGCGGGGCAGATGGTTCATTTATTTTTAATGACAAATCGGTTGTTGATTATTAACTGTCAGTGAAGGAAATTGTTTACACTTGACCTTCCTGCATTTTACTCTCATGTAAATCCACAAAAGCACATTGCACAAAGCACATCCACATTTGAGAAGCTGTAATCAGAAAATGATGATTCAGTGATCAGAACACGTCTGTGGGTCGAGCAGTCTCCATGCTAACAGTGAAACAGAGTGGAGGTGGTGTCCTACCCCATTCGTCCGTATGCTTTGCTGTAGTTGGGGTCGATGCTGATAGCCTGTTCACAGTCTTGTACAGCTCCAGCGTAATTCCCCAATTTACTGTAGGCTGCAGCCCTGCAGAGAACACAACAGATACAGCAGCTCCGTCATGTTCAGCTCACATAAATCAGGGTTATGGACTTCCTCGACAGGAAATTTTCCTTTCCTACATCCTGGTTAACCTTCTTATTCCTTCACTGCCTCAGTTTATGGTGGCAATGTCTTTATTTATGTAAATGAGAATACACATGAATACATTTTGTAGCAGCTTTTAAAAAATAAAAGTCCTTGGGCTTTGTAAAAGATTAAAATTCTGCTTCCAAGTCACGCACTTTGTGTTGAATTTTATGCATCAATTGCACTTTATAAATAATAT